TTCCGGGAAGTCTATAAGCTTCCATACAATATATAGATTATATATTTATTTATTTTCTTTATGATTTATATTTGTATTTTAAGAATTGTATTTTTACTATTTAAAGATGTAAAATTCAAACAAATAAAGATAACTTTTTTATAATTTTACAACAATAAAATTATCAGTTCATTAATAAATATCTAAACGTTTGTAAATAATTGTGATATTTATTTGAATGTTTACATTAGGCGTCATTTAGTTTATAAATATTTCCATATTGGCTTTCTTGGTTAAATTCGAGTTCATCCTTAAAATGGTAAAATATCAAAACACTGGATGTGCTCACAATTTATAGATTTGCATGGCAATTTAATTCTACCATTTGATAACTATGAAAATTCATCTATTGATTAATATGATAATAATAATAATAAAAGTAACAACAATAATAAAAATTATTAATTATTATATACCACATCATTTAATGGAATAACGGTTCTAACAATTACGGAATCTTCATGCTGTTTTTTAACTATAAAAAGCATCAAATCAAATAAGTAAAAATTTACAAGCACATATATATGTGTATATGTTTTAAACATGAAATGAATTCTCTTACTTTTCTCAATTGTGGTTTCTTTCGAAATCAACTTTTTTGAGCTTAATCTTCTTGATAATGCCCTGTATATTTGTTTTTTTTTTTGCTAAAAATATTTCTAAATTATATTGCTAAAAAAATGTTATTACCATTATTACCATCATAATTTTGAAACAAATACTTGAAATAAATTTTAATAATTACTTTTAACTTGGTCTAAACCCAATTGTATTTATACCTCTTAGCTGGCTAAGCTGTTTATTACCTAAATTGGTAATTTTATTTCTATTATGCATGCAGATTATTAGCCGGCTAACATCATTACTCTTAGGGCATTACAAATAAAATGACTTTTACAATATTTTGTCCAATAAAAATATTATAGCCATTTATCTTGTATAATTCACCAAGCAAAGTGAATAGGGAAAGGGGATATAAATATATAAAAAAAATCTATAGATGATATGCAGTGATCACAACGGTTGATAATAAACATCAATAATTAAATTTCATATATGCGGATTTTTTTTAATAAAATTTGTAATATAAATTTTCACAACTAAGAATAATTTGTAAGTCATTTCGTGAAATAAATCTTTTCATTACAAAAGCATTAATAATATA